AACCTGGTAACCTGTTGGCAATCCATCTTCCTTCTTTTTGTGGAATTGAAAAATTCTCGATCCAATGTATGACATACAGTGGATGTAGATGAAGAACCAGGGGAGGTTACATCTGTCTATTTTACTCCCATTAAAAAAGGGCCGCGAGTGCTACTTCAATTGCTAAGAAACTTTTGACCGAGTTCGAACTTTGAAATAAATACCGAAAGATTTTGAAAAAGAAATGAATATACTATACAATATGATATTCATCACATTTCAGTTGTTTACGGTTTACCTGTTGTGTAGGCCATCTAAAAAATTGCCGAAAAAAAAAACCTTATAAGTAAAAGGCATTGGAGCTGCTGGGCTATCCTTAGTCCCTATTCTTTGCTCTCGAGATTCTAGTCTTCAATGGAGTCTGGAACTCTCTTATTCTTGCAGAATTTGCAAGCTTATTTTGCCCTTCTCTTCTTCTTCTTCACCCTATCCTTCTCTTTATTCTCTGTTCTGCTCTGTTTCCTAAAACAGAAACTCTGGTGCAACTGTGACATTTGCTATGCTTACATCTCACAAACCTGGTCCAAAGATTTCAACAATCTTTGCGATTGGTACACACATCTGCTCCAACAATCTCCATCCCAAACTATCCACATTCATGTACTCGGCAACACCATCACAGCCAATCCAGATAACGTCGAGTACATGCTCAAAACCCAATTCAAAAACTACCCAAAAGGAAAACCATTTTCCATGATCCTTGGAGATCTCCTAGGGAGGGGAATTTTCAATACAGATGGAGATTTATGGATGTTCCAGAGGAAAATTTCCAGTTTAGAGCTAGCTACCATGTCAATCCGAACGTATGCATTTGAGATTGTCACGGCTGAAATCAACCAGCGGCTGCTTCCTCTGTTATCATCTTCCGTGGGGGTCAAAGCGATGGACTTACAAGAACTTTTCCGGCGATTTTCCTTTGATAACATCTGCAAGTTCTCGTTCGGGTTGGACCCGGGTTGTCTCGAAGAATCACTACCCTTTTCTCAATTTGCAGATGCATTTGATCTTGCATCGAAATTGTCAGCAGAGAGAGCCATGGCGTTACTGCCATTGGCATGGAGGATCAAGAGACTTCTCAACATTGGGAGCGAGAGAAAACTGAAACACGCGATTGGAATCATCAATGATCTGGCTATGGAGGTGATTCAGCAGAAGAGGAAACTGGGGTTCTCTTCGCAACAGGATCTTCTCTCCAGATTCATGGCCTCTATCTCTGATGATTCTTACTTAAGAGACATCGTCACTAGCTTCATCCTCGCCGGTAGGGACACCATGGCCTCCGCACTCACCATGTTGTTCTGGTTGCTAGCAAATCACCCAGAAGTCGTCTCAGAAATCAGAAAAGAATCGGAAAAAGTCATGCAACCCAATCAAGAATTAGCTAGCTTTGATCAAATCAGGGAAATGCATTATCTCCATGCTGCAGTTTATGAAAGTTTGAGACTTTATCCTCCAGTCCAATTCGACTCAAAGTTCGCCGGAAAAGATGATATTTTGCCAGACGGAACGTTTGTTGCTAAGGGGACTAGGGTGACATACCATCCTTTCGCCATGGGGAGGATGGAAGTAATTTGGGGTCAGGATTTTGTCAAATTCAGGCCCGAGAGATGGCTTAAAAATGGAATATTTTCTCCACAGAGTCCATTCAAGTACCCTGTTTTCCAAGCAGGGATAAGGGTCTGCTTAGGGAAGGAACTTGCATTAGTGGAGATGAAAATGGTAGCCCTCTCGGTCATACGTAAATTTGACATCGAGCTCGTGGCACCTCCGGCCACGCTCCGGTTCGATCTGGGGCTGACGGCAATGATCAGGGGAGGGATTGAGGTTGTGGTGAAGAAAAGGAGGTGATGAGTACATTTCAGAACCTTTTTTTGTTGTGGGGATATCTTAATAAAGTTGTTGGACTGTCAGTGCAGGAGTAGGGGAGTGTGACTAAGTAACTATTGGGATATAATGTGGGTATTGGATCGTTTTTAATGTAATAATATGAAAGACCAAAATAAGCAGAGGACCTGAGGATATAAAGGTGGGTACGAGGATAAATAGGCCCTCTGTTTTATGTAGCGAAACGTAGGAGATGAGGTGTCTGATAATATGATCGTACAGTTTTTCTGTTTATTTCTGTGTTGAGATTTTATGTTTAATGCAGTTTGCTCTACTAATAAATTCACTTTCAGCATCTCGTGCATTTACCGCTACTAATAGAATTTACTGATAATATCATATATATATATATATATATTTAATAACTCATTATAATTTAACATAACATTATAATTATGAAATTGTTGTCTTCTTCATCCTCACTTGACCATTTAAGTTACTCTTTGCCAAAATTTCTTGAGAATTGTTGAGGAACACTTCTAATTTATATACTACACTATTTCAAGAAAGGGAATGCTGAAAGGGGGGGTAGGGTGGGACTGGAAAAATTAATTGGAGAGAGCATTTCCATTTTGTGACAACAAACAAACACCACCATTTCAACCCACCAATCAATGGCACAGCTAGCTTACTAGCTGATCCCATAAAGCCACTACTTGATAAAATTCAAGAAAACTTTCGAAAATTATAAAGTAGGTGGGACGTTATTTTCTCAAAATGATCTGCGGTTGAAGATAATACATTAATGGTAATTTTTTAGTCAATAATTTTCTAATTGCCTACAAATTAAGGTTTTTTTATAAAAAAAAAGAAAAAGGAAAAAAGGAGGAGAGAACAAAATATAAGTATTTGAGAATAAAACTTATCAAAATTTGATACCAAAGAAGGGAATCTTATTCTATTTTTATTTTCATCACATTTTGTGTTATAAATCATGTGTTCGATCATTCAATATAAATATTTGATATGAATGAAATTTTATTAATAGAAAAACTTGGTGTTTATCTAATATCTATGTATCTTTTATTTTTTCACGTTGTGAAATATAAATCATGCAAACAGTTACTCAATACAAACACTTAAATATTGTTAACATAAGAACTTGATTGATATCCAAAATCCATCCATCTTCTACATTTTTCCACGTTCTAAAAAATTTAAATCACACAATTAGTCACTCAATACAAACACTTGGGTGTAAAGAGCATAGTGAACACAATAACTCAAATTCTCAAAGCAGTGCCTGTGCCTTGTACGCATGCCCAGACATAAACAACAAATTTCAAAAAGAATGCCAAAATTGGATGAAAATGGAAGATAAAAAAATTTTTGTTACCTTAAATCCAAATGGCAAGGGTAGTTGGATTGAAATCTGAAGTAAAAGCAGTTAAAAAGAAGTGATTATTCTGGCACTTGACACTTCGAAACGTCAAATTACGTTTAAGTGCATCTCTTTTTTTAAGATAACGATTTGAATTTAATTCTTTGTAAAATTGTTTAAAAAAATAAAGTAATTCTTTCTTAATAATTTAAATAATTTAATAATAATTTTTTATTAAAAATAAAAAATTTTAATTTCAAATCATCTAATGTATGAGTCCGTGAAGCATGTGGGTTAGTAGGATAAAGACCCAAGAACAGAAAAAAAGGAGTGGTTTTTGTTAAGATGGAAGAGATGGCATGGCATTCAGAAATGTGTTTCGTGTGGAGAAGAGTACAATAATTGATGTGTTATTGCAATCCGTATGGTTTGGTTTACACTTCACAGTTC